TGCCCTCACATTTTCAGCCTAAACAGATTTTCTCATAAATTTGCTCTTGATTCCCTCTCGTTCTCTGTTCTGTCGTCTCTGTAGTTTTGTCCTTCTCTTGCTCACATTCAGAGGAATCACAGTGGTCACATTAAAGGGATGCTCCACCCAAAAATTCTCTCAACTTTTACAGTACTCACCCTTATGACATCCCTGATGTGTTTGATATTTTTCTTTAGATAAACAGAAAGAAAGATTTTTTCATAAATGATCTATATTATCATAATGTTTCGAAAACCACACAAATTAAAGAGAGCATGATGGTAATCAATACGACCCCAAGTTAATGTATCAATGTCTTCTGTGAAATTCTATGTCAGCACATTGTAAGCATGTTCTGAGCACTGAGGCGCTTACATCAGGCTTTACAATGTCTTGTATGGGAACTCATGAATCCGTCTATGACAGTTGGCCGGAAGTTATGGTTTATAGTGTAAATATTCTTATTCTCTCACACAGCTATCGTTTTGCTTCAGTAGACATTGATTCATCAACTGAGGTTGTGTGGATTACCATTGTACTCGCTTTGTGTGGTTTTTGATGCGTCAACTTTGGGGGTCCCATTCACTTGCATTATATGGACTCAAAGAGATGCATTATTTATTTTTCTGAAAATCTTTGTTTGTGTTCATCTGAAGAAAGTCATATACATCTAGGACGGCATAAGGGTGAGTAAATGATGAGAAAATTTTAGAATGGAGTATCCCTTTATCTGGCCCTGGTCATATAAAAAAAAAAATAAACACGACTAATGAGAGAGAGAGTATATAGTTTCAGTTCTGGCGACTAATTAAGCTATTTGTAATGGTTTTATTCAAGGTGACCTGAAGTTAGTGCTGGGCGGTATACTGGTTCATACTGAATACCATTTGAAAAATACCATGATATAAATTTTTGGTCATACCGCCCAGCACTACCTGAAGTGTATACTTCCTCTTCAGATTACCTGATGTGCTGCAGCAGATAATGATTTATGAATGAATGAAAATACATATTGTCCTTGTTGGTGCTATTGCAAGTAGCTTAGTCATTTTCTGTTGTGTCATTTCATTACAAATCCTGTGGTAAAAACAGGAAATTAGTTTAATAAAGGGCCTTTCGATAAGTGTTTAAGATCAAGCCTGACTTTCAATTTTGAAAAACACTGCTCTTTCCCATTGCTTTATGTTCCCCAGCACTGAGCTTATGTCTTCCTCTGGATAAACATCATTTGTTTAGTGCTAAAATAAGATGTTAACCAGCAACCAGCAGCTGTATGTAAAGTGTGCATGGTTGTCCCTGGTGTAGTTCGCCTCGCCATGGAGAAAAGCTCTTGTTATTGTCAACCCTGGACCAAGAGCTGTTCACCCATTATTAATTCACTGGGTCCTCTGAGGTGAAACGCAGGGCTCGGTTTGCCTCTGAGGGATCTGGTGACTGCATCATCAGCTAGTGAAGAGCCTTTGAGTGAGAAACAGAGTGTGAGAAAAACAGATATGGTAAAGAAACCCAAATAAATCCTCTGTGGTCTCTGATCACTGCTGATAAAGAGCTATAGAAAGATATAGAACAGCTGTTTTCAAAGCGTGAGCTGCCCACCTTCCCCAGAAGGGCTCCAGAGCAGAGTCTGGAGATAAAGATAACTTAAAAACCGAGAATGATAAAGTAAAAGTGAAAAAACTTTATTCAAAGACAACTGAATTAATATTACTTATAGGAAAATTTCTCAACTTAGTAGGCTATGAATTTCCATTACTGTAGTTGCCTGTTCATTTCTATAGGGACAATGAAGCAATGAGAAAAAGTTGTCATGTTTCTGATCTTCAAACAAATAAATAAAAAACTAAAACAAATTTTTGAATAAACTGGACAAAGCACTTCAGCAACTAGTTGATAAGAGATGACATTTGAACAGGTCTGCAGCCAACTTAATTTATGCAGGTATGTCTTGCCTTTTTTATTTTAACTGCAATAAAAGCTGTATTTGTAATATAAATCTAGGAGGCACTTTTTTGTATATTTTCTCAGATGAGAGGTTAGGTGTTTGAAAATATTTGTAGTCATTATTCCCTTTGTTATCTTTGGCTAATAAAATAGTAAAGTTCTCTATTTTGAAATTGCGAAAGTACACTTCAAAGGTCATTGTTACTTGATAAAGTTATAACAAGAAGTTGAACAAGAAACCAAAGCAAGAGATGAGGTTTAGGTATGAATAAACCTCAGAGTTTATCCAAACTTACGATCATATCAGCTAGAATTTATGGTATAAATTCAGCAGTTGTGGTTGCCAGAGACTGACCAAAAAAAAAAATTATAAATAAATAAATATATATTACAGTGACAAAGTTTCAGGTATTATGGGATTGCATATTGGTACCTGTATATTTTATAACTTATAACCATATATTTCATTAAGTGGTATAATGTTAATATACCAATCTACCAAAATCTGCTTTTCTACCTTCAAATGTATTGATAACCACCATAATAATAACAGTAACACTGAAAAAGTTAATTGTAAGTGACTTATCCATGAAACAGGGCAAATACTTGTGTATAGATGGTGCACAGGGTCATACAAACAAAGACACAACACCATCAGGGTAACACACTAAAATAATGCAATATGTAACACAAAACAAACATCCTAATGCACTGTTAACAAAACTAAGAAGAAACTAAATGATTTAAATAAAATATAATCTTGTTGTGTCATGGAGGATCTTCTAGGAAAGTCCTTTTACTGTTTTTCTCCATAAATTTCATGGCAATTTATTATCCTTTCTTCCAAAAACCATACACTTGACTGTATTTTACATTAAAATTGCATGTTTAAACCATTTACAATTTTTCACTGCATATGGCAAGATAACTTAGTTTACTAAGTAACAGTTTTTTATTTTAAAAATGTACAGATATTTTACAGTAATGTTATGCTGTTTCTAGACAGTTAAAAACATTAAGTAGGTTCCTGGTGTCCATCATAACACCTCTGACAGTTGTTTTTATCTATTCTCATTAACATTGACTGGCTTCCTTGATGTGTATCTCTTTCTACCTGCTGATCTTCTGCCAAACAGGTGCTTATACAAGGTCGACATCAGCATCTTCCACTTTTCAACACATCCTCTGTGTGAGCTGATACCATCCTCACCCCAAAGTCACATTCCCCGATGTTCAGTCTGTGAGGATGTCAGGTCCATTAATCACCTGCATGGTGGCCGCAGATCTATTTGAGTGCTGTCCTTTGTACTGCCTGCCACACAACGCAATCAGCTCCTCTTCCCAGAATGCAAATTTAAATCGAGGAAAAATGTGGGACCGACAATCATAAGCGTCCATTTATTTCACTTTTTGATTCATTTTCATATGAAGCAGTCTAAGTGATCTATCATTCAGTGGGTTTGAAGGAAGAAGCCCAATGGGGAGGCGGCAATGTGTGACTGATCATGGCTTTTATTTACTGCCTTGTTAGCCTTTGTTGCTGTAGACTGACAGTTAACCCCCCCCTCTCCTCCCTTTCCTTTAATCCACCTTCAATCATTTTAATGGGACAGTTTCTATCCAATAGGCTGTGGATTTATACTCCACTCCAGTCCTTGATCAAATTGTGGTCATGGCCTGTCTACTGGCAAATGACAGCAATCTCTTCAGACACTTATGACTTTGAGATGACCGCGTCCACCTCAACAATATTACTCCTGACATCTGCATTGTTTTTCTTATCATATGCTATGAAGAACTGTTCAATAGTAAAAATGTCTCATCAACTATTAAGTGCTGACAAATTATTGTGTTTTATAAAGTGCACAGTTATTTACAGACACAAAGGAAATTATTTGTGTTGTTTGCAAGACCCATACCCCCTCATACAGAGATCCTGTAATGCCCAATAATGTAAAATGTGGGGTATGCTTTAATCTTATAGTCACAAAGTTATATTGCATTTGTAATAAAACATTAGAAAAAAAGAACATGAAAAAATAATTTGAATAAAATTAATATTATTGTTTATAGTTTTTTTTTAATATTTAACAACAAATTATAGACTGATGCATCCCTAAAAAAAACATTAATTTACCCAAATATGCATTCTTAAATGTAGGGATGCACAATATTGGATTTTTGTTGATATCTGTAATTGCATTCTCAAATTAAATTCTGTGATCCAAAACAGTGAGAATCTAATCACCATTCAGGCAAAAGTTGGTTTCAAGAATGACCACACTGCTGTCGTGATCTTATCGCTAACACACCCTGAGCATATGTGAGTTATTCGTCTTATCGACAAGGCATATCGGCATAATTTTTTATATCGGCCCGATGCCAATGTTTACATTCTAAGCCTTTATCGGCTGATTCCAATGACTTTCCGATAATATCATGCATCCCTACTTAAAAGATTTTGCAGGGCTGCTGGCTTTTGTCTATGTGCAGTGTATGGCTCTCACTCATGATAGCATTATATTAAGGTTAATCTAGGTTTACGGTTCATGTCTGTGGAGCATCTGCCGTCATCATGACAATGGGCGATTACAGTAGTGCTTTCTAGCCTAGGGGTCATATGGTCTTATGGCCAAGGGTTGGGGCAAGGTGGAAATCCTGTCCCAGTAATCCAGTTGTGGAGAGGCTTTTTACATCCAGATGCTGACAGATGTTTTACAATGGGATTGGAATGAATTGCAGCTCTGGGATAAATCTAGATTTAATGTCAGGAATGAAGCCAGCATAAACTGATAGGTTGCCAACATAGAGAGCAACTCTAAATATCCTGGCTATTACTCCCATTCATTTCACTTTTTTATGTTTTAATTTTCATTTAATATGATTTGTTTCTGCAATTTCGAAAGGTATTTTCCTCTGCTGCCGTATTCTATTTGCATTTTGCTTCAGACAGATACTAATTTTTTTAAATTATTATTATTATTATATTTTTCTGTCTTTGACTCCATTTGTGACTCAGTTTAATTGTGTCTGTGCAGCTGGTCGGTGGACAGTTTGATCTGGAGATGAACTTTATCATCCAGGAGATGGAGAGCATCATCTGCATGGTGGAGCTGCTGGATAAATGTGTCTCCACTTGCCAGGCGGAGGTGTGGAGTATGTTCACCGCCGTGCTGAAGAAGAGCTTGCGAAACCTGCAGGCCTGCACTGATATCGGCCTCATCCAGCTGGTGCTCCAGCGCATCGACCGGGTCGACACCATGATCGCAGGTGTGTTAAACAGGGGATGAGACATGCCCTCTGTATATAAGTGACACTAATAGTTGCTGGATTACTATTTTTTGGATATAACAATATAATTAATAACAATATGTGACCCTGGACCACAAAACCAGTCATAAGGGTCAATTTGAATAAATAAGCTTTCCATTGATGTATGGTTTGTTATGATAGGACAATATTTGGCCGAGATACAACTATTTGAAAATCTGGAATCTGAGGGTGCAAAAAAATCGAAATATTGAGAAAATCGCCTTTAAAGTTGTCCAAATGAAGTTCTTAGCAATGCATATTACTAATCAAAAATTAAGTTTTGATATATTTACGGTAAGAAATGTACAAAATATCTTCATTGAACATGATCTTTACTTAATATACTAATGATTTTTGGTATAAAAGAAAAATCAATAATTTTGACCCATACAATGTATTGTTGGCTATTGCTACAAATATACCCCAGCGACTTAAGACTGGTTTTGTGGTCCAGGGTCACATATAATAACAATATAATTAATATAATATAATAAAATAACAGTAATATTTTTAAATATTATTGCAATTTAAAATTTTTAAATGTAATTTATTCCTGTGATGGCAAATCTGAACATTACTCCAATCAGAAAATATTATTGATATATGATACCATGATACATTTTTTCAGAATTCTGTAAATAGACAAAGTTCAAAAGAACAGCATTTATTTGAAATATAAATCTTTTGCAACATTATAAATGGCTTTACTGCTGAATAAAAGCATTAATTTCTTTCAAAAAAAAAAAAAAAGAAAAATCAAGGACTTTAATGTTACTGATGTTTAAATTAATGATGCTGCTAAACATCTCTGTGTTAATGCTCTCGTACTCACAGGGCAATGTTGCTTTATTTTACTGGCAGGAACATCAGCATATATATTTTGTTAAAATTCATTATATTCACTCGGCTGTACATAGTATTGTAAAAATGCTTTAGATTATACACGTAATTATGACTTTAGCTCTCCGTCAGCATGTAGTTCTTCAGCCTTGCAGCACTGACACATAGCAAAGCTCACAGACAGCTAATTAGCCACAAAGCTCAGTTTGGCATGTCAAGGCTTTCCAAATATAGGTTTTACATTTGTTTATAGCGACAACACTAACAATACTGTTTTAAAATGCAGAGGTTGTGCAATTGTTTAACACTTGCCATTGTGCATGTACAGTTTTAGTGATTCATTATTCGTATTTGGACCATGATGGGGCTTTTACACAGAAGAACAATTTTGCGTATCCTCAGGCAAAACTTCTCTGATGCTACATTAACATGAACAACATTCTTATCCAAGTATCTTAACTGACCAAATTAATGTTGGTTTTGACCGTAAATAGTCAAGAATACAAACTGAATTGTGACCCTGGAGCACAAAACCAGTCTTAAGTCGCTGGGGTACTCAATCTTTTGATTTTTTTGCACCCTCAGATTCCAGATTTTCAAATAGTTGTATCTCAGTCAAATATTGTCCTATCCTAAAAAACTATACATCAATGGGAAGCTTATTCATTCAGCTTTCAGATGATGCATAAATCTCAATTTTTAAAAATGGACCCTTATGACTGGTTTTGTGGTTCAGGGTCACAATTCAGCCTTTTATAAATTCCTCTTCAGTTGTAATGAAGCATTAACCTCATGTTTGCGTGTGTATGTGTGGTGTTTTTCAGATCTGATGGTGGACATGCTGGGTGTGCTCGCCAGCTACAGTATCACAGTGAAGGAACTGAAGCTGTTCTTCAGTAAACTGAAAGGAGAACAAGGCCAATGGGTAATGGTCTTCTCCTCTTTATCTACTATTTGAGAAACATCTCGCTTCTCCACCTCACACTCAGTCATAATGCTGTGATCTCGAAAAATTGATTATATATTTTATAAAGTACTAGGACTGTCATTTGTTTTAAATAAATAGAAGCTGATTTGTTAATTAATTTCTATGACATGCTCTGAATAATACACTTTCACAATTTACTAAAAATACACGAAATACAAAAAATGTATGTCCTTGTCCTCCGTTTAGTCTTCAGTGCATGAGGGAGATGTTGAGACAGTGGAAAGGCAGGAGGGTTTGACGCATTAGGCTGTGTTTCTGAACTGCGGGACTGTGGCACTACCATTGATCAGAGCGTGAAATAAACCCATCAGAGCAATAGAAGAGCACACATCCATGTGTGTCTATATCATAACCTACAGGCAGAAGCCATTATTATGACTCTCTTGCCTGTACTCGTTGCTGATGGACCAAATGTGTCTCAGGTTGGGAAATGTTTTAGGTTAGTTTACCTCAGTAAATTCAGAAATGAAATCCATGTCTAAATCCAGAAGATCTTTCTCAAATTTGGCACAACATGAGTAGGATTCAGACTAACGAAATGATTTGTGACTGTATATTTTGTATAGTGTACAGTATCTTTTATGTGTGTGGGAAAAATACAGCAGTCAGACTCTTAAGTATTTATTTGTGTGTGTGTGAGTTCATTTTTTGTTCTTAATGCTGTTGCTTTTTTCTTTTATCTATTAGCCTCCTCATGCTGTCAAGCTGCTTTCCGTGCTGAAGTGCATGGCTCAAAGAAATGGCCCAGATTCCTTTTTCAGCTTCCCAGGGAAGAGTGCTGCGGTGAGACCTAAACATCAGTCTAACTTGACTTCAGTTATAACGTCTGCCTCTATACACCGAGAAAATATCTATTGTGATTTTTGAATTAGTGATTTGAAAATTGCATGCCAGAATTTCTCTTCTTTTGCACTTGTCCGCTACCTAGACATTTTAACTTCCTTGCTATAATAAACTTACAATGTGTTAAAATCAGGGAAATTATACTTTTGCTACCTTTTGTTTTTTCAATTAATTCTTTTTTTTTTCTGTACAATTTCTTTTCAAGGAATCACTTTATAGAAAGTGATTGAGAATCTCTGTCAGGACAACAGAATGATAAATATCAGAAATGTATTTTTCATTTCGGTTTATTTTTATCTATCACACAGTATACACAAAATACATCACACAAAATACCTAAAATCCACACTACCACACATTATACCAGTCCAAATTTCCTGAAAAATATGATGAATGTTTTAACATACTGTACTGTTCAAAAGTTTTTTAAAGAAGCCTCTTTTGCTCACCAAGGATGCATTTATTTGATCAAAAATACAGTAAAACAGCAATGTTGTGAATACTATCACAGATCGAAACAACTGTTTTCTATTTTCATATATTTTAAAATGTTATTTATTTCTGTGAGGGCAAAACTGAATTTTTAGCAGCCAGGATTTTCTCCAGTCTTTCTTCAGTGTCACATTATTCTTCAGAAATCATTCTGATATGCTGATTTGATGCTCAAGGAACATTTCTAGTATCATAACAGTTAAAAACAGTAGTACTGCTTAATTATTTAAGCATAATAATAATGAATATATTATTTAATTCAAACCTTTAAATGACAGTGTTGATGAAATATAGTTTCAAGACATTGTTTTTTCATTTCAAGTACTAAAAACTAACCTAATTTAATAATCATCCTTATATTCACTTGAAACAAAATTTTTCACTGCAAAAATATTTGGACTCATTTAGACTCAAAAGACACACAAACACACACACACACACACACACACACACACACACACACACACAGAGACGTTTAGGGACTTTTTCAAACAGACTTTAGGACTTTAAAACGTCATTTTTTTATGGAAAACATATATATCGAGTTAAACTCATCTTGTTTTTAGATTAAAAGACAAGCAAGTTTCTAGTTTTGAAAGAAACTTGAGAAAAACAGCTAATAAATATTTCAGGATAGACTTGTTTACATTATTCTGTGCATTGGGAGAGGACGGCAGTCAAATGTATATGTATAATTTTCTGATGTGATACACATGTCTTTGAAATGCTCCAACTGCCTGTGTGTATGAGTTTGCATGTTTTCAATAAAAACCAAACCATCATCCCGGCAGCATGGGGGGTCTTGATGTTTTATAGGGCATGTGTATGGAACCCTTCCTGTGTTGTCAGTGTCCACTTGAGACAGCGCCAAATGAATACCGTCCTCTCAGGAAATACTTTGATTGGATGTTGTTTGGTGTTTAGATGGTATTCCAGCACAGATATGATGCTGGCTTCAGGAGGAAATAATACTGCGCTTGCCTTCATTTTTCATCTGTAACCCACAAATACGACAGGAAGTCTTCAGTGTACAAACATACACAACCGTTTTAACCACATCCCTCCAAGGATACTCCTTTTAGTTTTTGTTTTTCCATCCTGCTCATATGTTACTCTGTATGATACTCTGCTTATCTAAAACAAAACCACAAAATAAGGAAACCTAACTGGAAAAACTGTGTTTTTGTATCATCAGGCTATTGCACTTCCACCTATTGCAAAGTGGCCGTACCAGAACGGCTTCACCTTCCACACCTGGCTGCGCCTGGACCCCATCAATAACATAAACGTTGACAAGGACAAGCCTTATCTATACTGGTCGGTCACACACAAACACTGATCACACAAACCTGTGATGTAAAATACAACACCTCTATGCTTTCTAGAGACCTGGACACCTGCAGTACATAGAGGAAGATTAGCTGACTGTTTCATTTGTCTGTAAGGTGCCAGAAATTAAAATATTTGTAGGTGGTTAGATGAACAATAAGAAAATTCTGTATATTTTCCTCGTTCTCATTCTCTAGCGTTTACACTTCTCAAGGGCAGCATTTCACAGCCTTCTTGTCCTATTTTCAGCTTCTAATTAATTTCTGTCAAAAATGTAATTTATGCAAATGGAGCTATTTTGACTCACCAAACGTTAATTGACCCTATAGAAAGATCTGTAGGATTTACACTCTTCACTGTGCTGAGATGAACTCTCTACATTACAGGCCTTCTTTCAAATGTTTGTTTGAAATGAATGTATATCTATCAATCATCTAATCATTTCTTTTGACTTTTCCATTTAGCTCTATTGTGTTTTTTTCTGAAACTACTTGAAATGATGCTTTCATGTAACATTCACAAGAATATTTTAATTACATTTTAGTTCACACAAAAATTTAAATTGTCATCATTTAATGAACAATTCAAGATGAACAATAGTCTGAGTTTTGCGCAAAAGTATTGAACTAACAATTAAAAAACACTTAAAAATAGAATGTATATACTGTATAGGCACACAATATGTTGGTTATGCACATTCAGCCTGTCTTTGGTTCTTCATACACCTCAGATACTGATGTAATATTAAACATTTTCTAGAGAAATAGGCCTTTTGTGTACATAGAAAAAGTCTTAGATCTTTGAATTCAGCTCATGAAAAAAAACAAAAAAAACAAAAGTGTTGCTTTTATAATTTTGTTCAGTATATATATATATATATATATATATTTTAAATATGTGTTTATAATGTTGTAGGTTAAGGATGAAAAATATTCTTTGAATACCTACAAATTGCAATTGGTTTACATTGTATTACAAACCTTGATGCAAAATGGACATAATATGTGTCTCAAAATATAATATAAGCATAACAATTGAGAATGATTAAATTATTGTTTTTAATTTAAAAAACAGATTTTCTTCTTTGTTTTAATAATTCATACATCAAAGGGTTAAAACTGTAGCTGCTTTTTCTTTTGAGAGTAGAGCTGTATACATTTGAGCACCCCTCTTCTGAAATGTAACTTTAATAATTGTGGTCTGTGTTTTTTTTCCCTCTTCCCTAGCTTCCGCACAAGCAAAAGTTTGGGCTATTCTGCACACTTTGTGGGCGGGTGTCTGATTGTCACCTCTCTAAAGTCCAAAGCCAAAGGCTTCCAGCACTGTGTGAAATACGACTTCAAACCCCAGAAGGTATGAATCACCTCAGCCATTTTTTTAGCTTACCTGTTTGTACTCTTATAATGTACACTTTCCAAAGTCTTCATCTTTAATTCTAAAATGTACAAGGAGAGCAAATTTGACATCAGAAGGAGGGTTTGTGTTAATGCCAAGTCATGTCTGAGGATTTGCAAGAAGAAGCCAAATCCCTTCCCTGCTCATATGCCCCCTGGAATGGGCAGGCGTCGTCATATATATATATATATATATATATATCTATATATCTAT